GCAATAGCTAAGACTAAAAATTGATTCGGAGAAGCTGAGCTGTGCGCTCGCAGTTATCAGATTTAACTATGAGACAAATAAGAAACATGTGGAGCTATAATATACAATACTAATATTCATTTGCCAGATCCACGTCGCAAAATCTAGAGTAGTGAATTGGTGCTGGTTGTGGCGTCTGTCTGGGGGCAAAACTTCGTATGTTGACACGAATAACGTGCGTTATGTAAGTTATGTGCTATAACAGAGCTGCAGCAACCAATAACCGATATAAAAAAAATATAACTCGGTACTCACTGCAATGAGTGACAGAGAGCGCATTTTCTCGTCGACGAAAACGTGAAGTCACGGACAGACAGACAGACGGACATGGCGGAGCACAGTAGCGCCTTTTTTCCATAAATGAGAAGATGTGCTAAAAAGCGTCATGGAAAACACACGAGAAAATACCTTCTATGTTCTAAGATTTTGTTTGCTGAAAAGCAGGCCAAATCAACGACGTGGATAAATCATTTGTTCAATAAAAACACATGAGATTGTAATCAGGGGCATAACAGAAGACTCCGAGTGGTGCAAACAATTATCACGTCATGAGATTCAGATAAGAATGATAGATGGATTGAAACAGACGTCAATCCTGCAGTATATTTGCGTGCACGGATAACTGTTGTGATGATGTGGTAAGCTGATAACACACGAGGTTCCGTTGTTTCAAATCTCTCGGATGAAGACTTGCGGATCAGAAATTGAGGAATATAAATAATTGTCGATTATAAAAAATATATTTTACAGACCCGACGTTAATCTACTATTCCAACATTTTTGAAAAAAATGCGTTTCAAACAAGTCGCGTAGTTCATGCAGATTTTACATTCTGATAAATTTAAAGCGGTTTCTGATTAATTTAAAGTGAATTTTAATGAATTCAAAGTGAATTCTGATAAATTTAAAGAGAATTCTGATAAATTAAGAGAATTATGATTTATTTAAAGCGAATTCTGATTAATTTAATGCGAATTCTGATTAATTAAAGCGAATTCAGATAAATTTAAAGCGAATTCTGATTAATTTAGAGCAAATTCTGGTTAATTAAAGCAAATTCTGATGAATTTAAAGCAAATTTTGATGAATTTAAAAAATGTGATAAATTTAAAGCGAATTCTGATACATTTAAAGCAAATTCTGCTAAATCTAATTTTTTCTGGAGAATTTGGCAGGCACTGCTAACATTTAAAGACGATGGCACGCTGATAACACTGATAGCCGTAATCTAAGGAATTATTGATAGTCAATTGCACGTCCTGGTAAAGTCAAAACGCGATAAAAAATAACGATATTTAAGCAAATGAAATGAAAATGCTTAGCTATCAGAAAACGCACTGTTTTTAGTATCAACATGATTATTGAACAAACTTTACTTTTATTTAAACGCCGCATTCTTAAAAAGATCACGATGTTCCTAATGTGTAATTGACGTGACAAGAACATTCACAACATGTCACTGACAAGACAAGAACAGTCACAACATGTCACTGCCGTGGCAAGAACATTCACAACATGTCACTTACGTGACAAGAACATTCATTACATGTCACTGACGTGACAAGAACATTCACAACATGTCACTGACGTGACAAGAACATTCACAACATGTCACTGACATGACAAGAACATTCATAACATGTCAATGCCGTGACCAGAGTTGAGAAGAAACCTGTCATTCTGCCTGAAAATTTTAGGAAGATATCATGCCGTCACATGCTCAGCTCGCTTCTATATTGTCTACGACGCAAAAATACTTCAGTAAAATTCGTATTTTAGCCATAGCAAGTGAATTTTCTAGGATTTATTTGTAAAGAAGAATGTTACTAGTCCCCGCACTGAAAAAAATCTTTCACAACTGTCCGTGCATGAACGGAATTAATTTAAATAGTGTTGCGTAACGTCTCGCAATTTGTGACTGCTTATGTTGCGACACGGAGCGAGAAATGAACGTCGAATGCAAAGATTCAGCGCGTGCAAAGATGCGAGAGTTCGTTCAACTGCAGTATATATAAGGCTGATGTGCGTACTGTGCAATCTAGGCTAAATAAATAGTAAATAAGTAAATACATGGCTAGGTAACGCACGCTCAGTACATGCTAGGTAACGCACGCTCAGTACGTGGCTAGGTAACGCACGCTCAGTACATGCTGCTAGGTAACGCACGCTCAGTACATGGCTAGGTAACGCACGCTCAGTACATGCTAGGTAACGCACGCTCAGTACATGGCTAGGTAACGTGGCAGTAACATTTCCTTAACGAATCATGATGATCGGCAGCTCTACAGGCCGATATGACCAGCAAGCAGTTCTGCCACTAACCATTTAATGCTGCAGGGTTCTATCAATAAATTCTGAATGATCCTTAACCGATAGATTAATTCTGAGCAGTTTATCTCGAACTAAATAATGTTACGTAAATTCTTCCGACATTGCTCCTATATGCTGAAGCATTGGTAAATGCTGATCAACATCTCAAGAACTTGCTAATGCTGAAGAGTTCCTTCTCTAACTGGTTAATGCTGATCAACCTTTCTGGTTAATGCTGAGTAACACTTCCTTTACTTTAAAGCTGATTAACTCATTATCTAACTGGGTAATGATAAGAAGCTTTTTCCTCAACATTTTCGTGCTGATGATGTAATTTCTTAACTGTTTAGTGATGAGGGGTGACGTTTTCTAAGTGGTCAATTCTGAGGGGCAACTGGTTAATGCTGTGGGGTTTCTTTCCTAACTGGTTAATGCTGAGAGGTTTCGTCCCTAACTGGTTAATGCTGAGGGGTTTCGTCCCTAACTGGTTAATGCTGAGGGGTAACTGGTTAATGCTAAGAGGCAATTGGTTAATGTGATGCGGGCTCGCGTTCGACAGGCTCGTCAGAAGCACATGATCTTGACCGTGAAAGTCGCCGCGAGTCAAGAAATTGAAGTGGCCAGTCAAGCAGGCCCATCATGAAGTATCGACTACACTCACTACAGTTGAGAATCATCAGCACGAATTACCACTTAGTACGTAGGAATAAACGCAGGTCTGCTTCATATTAATCGTCTTCACGAACATGCTCATAGAAGTCAACGTAGCTCAAGTTCATAGTGATCGTTTTCAGACATTAATTGATAAATTTGAACGATGTTTTGGCTAGTATTAATACCATGCTAAATTGCTAATAACTTGATACGCGTTCGCAGAAGCAGTAGGTAAAGATTCCGTGCATCCATCATTCCAGTACCAACTTAGCTTACCGTCCTATTTTAATTTGCATTTACGTTTAATTGACATAAATATTTCGAACGTATCAATTTTCGTCATTAATATTACCTAAGGTCCAACTATTTTGAACAAAAATATCTAAAATTAACGGAAGATAGCGTGCGAGACGCGGCGCCGATTTTGGTGTCGCGACATCTGCCATGAATATAGATTCTATTTCACATTCGATTGAATAATCAAAATTGCACATCCTACAATTCAGTTTAACCTTCACTAGATAGAACATCGGCAAATTATCTGTAGGAAAAATAATATAGGTAGAGACAAATTGGTTGTTCACGCGCGTGACCAAAAAGGATGCCAATAAATTAGATCGAAAATTTCTTGGTTGACGACGACATTAGCTACTGATTGCATTAGTCAATAGCTGATAAACCGGCAAATACTACACATAGATCCCCAACACAACCCCTAACACACAAGCACCACCACACAACGCGCCGAAACAAAATCAAGATGATGAGTTTTTTAGACACGGAAGCAACTTATTATGAGAGGACGAGCACCTTTTATCTTGGTGGATGCAGGCGCCGCACCCTCACTTGTTGAGGCCATGTTACACACTGACTGACTTGGAATCGATATTGACCATGAGAGTTTTCATTGACTGCATGAAAAGGAACGTTGCAGGTATACATAATTGAGAAATTAAATGTTTATCTAAGTTGCCAGATAAGTTTTAATAATAGTTATAGCTTTGCATAGGTTAGATCAATCTAAAACAACCTCCTAGACAAGTGTCTGAATACAAGAGTTTGGGATGAAAACCATTGCATCCGAACAATATCTAATTTCATTGGAAAAGCCAAATATATTTATACAAAGACATGAATGTCATCATCATAAACTGACCGAATTCCAAAGTTGATATTGTTTCCACCTTGAATTACTTTAATATCAGAAATTATTAGAGACAGTTCATTTTACTTTTGCAGCAAGATAAAGTGTACGACAACAAAGTAACAGACGTCGCCACGCCATGTTCCGCCTCCGCCAGCCTACAGCTGAGAGTGAATGGCGGACGGCTGGCGTCTGGCTGTGAGTCATGTAATGTGGCGTGAAGAGCTGGGGATGCAACTTTGTGTGGCTGTGGGATAATATAATAGATAAGCCTTTGAAGGGCAGAGAACTGCAGGTATATAAATTATTGCGCAGTGCCGTGATGCTTGTATTGGAATATAGAAGTAATTTTCATATAAACACTCAATAGTTTTCCTATAATCAAACACCAATTGGTAAAACGATGTTATTTGGAGTTATTCACTGTTAACAAAAGTAGTAAACTACAGTAATGGCAAAGCTTTCCAATTATAAATTTTAATTCATCATTCAGCCGGGCAATCGTTAGCAGCAGACGAATTAGGTAAATTCCCTCTCGGCCTCACGATGATTTATGTCATTGTCTTGACAAAGTTAGTTGATCTTGACGCGCATTCACCGCGCCGAAGTGTTAATCAAAAGTTGTCCGAAGAGAAAAGGTAACACCTTTCGCTAATAACGCGTTAGTTTTAATTAAAATAGTCAACTGAAACAAACAATCATCGCAAATTTTCGACTACACAATTAGCGAGAAGAGCTCATTAGTCAGTAGTTTATATTAGTTCCGAAAGTTAGTCCACATTAATTATTAACGAACCCAATGAGGTGAGTTATTAATGAAACGCTTGGTACACTCAGAAGAGAGTCTACATACTCAACGTTGCGACACCCGCAGCAGGGTCAGCTTGAGCGACCTTCGGAGATGTTTCTGTGGCAAGCCCTCTTCTGTCGATGCCAGACGCAGACTTTCCCTTGTGATCGGCCGAGTAATTCTTGGGAAACTTCTCGCTGGCTATAAATGTTGTTATTGGGGTCCTTGAACCCGTTGCCGCTCGGTCTAGGGTAGTATATCCTGACCCAGGAGTGCCTGAACGTGATCGTATAACATTCCGTTCGTTGAAATGCCCCGAAGTAAAATAGTCGGAGTTGGTTAGGTTTGCGTTGCTGCGAGTATAACTACGGTTATCCAACACCGACACTGGCTTGTAATCTCCGTATGGGCCAGGGCATGGAGAACCACTCCATATCACTCTCGAGTTGGCTACTGGAATAGAAGAAGTTCTGTACATTCTTTCATCGTCTGTGCGCTGACTAAACGGGTTCTCAGAGTACAAAACATGGTCGCGGCTCTTCGATAATCCGTGGGCGAGTGACTTGGCATTTCGAATTTCTGGCTTCCTTGCAGTTTCTGTCGATGAGATCGCGAATGTGGCAGTAGTTATCGTGTTGGGCGGGACGTTTGCACTGGATTGTTCTTGCGTTGAAACGTCTTGCGGTTGATCGTTTGGGTCGCTGTGGAGGGCTATAGGAGGTGCAGCAACTACATGGCGATCGTCAACTATTTCTTCTTGAGGGAGCCGAGGAGGTGCAGGATCAGCTTCAGCACATGGGCCGTACGCAGATGTCAACGACCTTTTCCGTTTGAAACATCCTGCAAAGAACAGCCACTCATCAATATTCACGACCTGTAAATCAATATAAAATTTTCATTACTCTTCTTACCGTCCCGGGTGTACAATCGTTGAGGTCGAGATGCAGCAACTCAGTTAGGCACGGAATTATAACCAGAACCTGCCTATAGAAATTGTTAAATCCCCGTTAACCAAAGTTACTTGGGCAAATAAATCCCATCTTTGTCTCGACGTGTCGGCCCTGAACGATGACCGTCGTCGATGACATTGTTGTAGGCACTCATACAATGTTCATAGTTACGAATGACGAGTTGGATGTATATGAGCGATAAAAGGCGGCAATGTAGGTGAAGGATCCCGGTAGGAATAACGTATAAATGAAGGTAAAGATCCTCCGCATGCAGGTATAAATAACGCGTTAGACAAGCGTGGAAATCAAACGCAATCACACCGCCTAATTTTTACGTAGAGATCACGCACTCGCACAGACATACCGCCTATTTATTACGTGGAGATCACACGCAAGCATACCGCATAATTATTCAATTATTTCGTGGAGAACATACGCAGATTATACATCCGCAAGAGTCATGCGTGGTTGCACTCCACTCATGCACCACAATAAAGCATTGCTGGCGTGGTTCTCGTAACATCCAGATTAAAATAATCCCAGCTTGTTCCACTTGTCCTCTGCTGACCTTTTTCGTAGACGCACATTTAATTCGGTAAATATTGGCGTTAGTTTCGGTAATACAGTTCTTGATGGTTGAATATACCCTAGCTGTGAAAGGCAGGTTGTGTGGAGCCATTTTCGTACGTGTTTGTTGACTAAGCCTTTATGGCGGCAGGTCGATGACAATCAGCTGTTGTTGGTTGAATGTGCCTAATTTATGGGAATGTCTCGCGCACATAAAGCATTATTAAAATGATCCTGATAAGGATGATTCACATAAAAAAGTATTTAAACCAATAAAATCGAACTACGGGAAAGGACATGTGCAACTACGGGCAGGGTGGCCCAGTGGTTAAAGTTCAGAGTACCAAGATTGGCGCAGAGAGGCGCGGGTTCGATCCCAGCTCTGTGCGCCAGTTTCTGGTCAGAATCGGCAAGGAGGCCGGGCGGTTAAGCATAGCAGAATTGTAGCAGTGAGTTGCGAGTTCGAGACCCCAAAATGCTGTGAATGTTCTGCGATGTTAAGAATCGGCGACAGGCCTAAGGCATACTAAACGCTGGAACCGCTATTATTATAACAGACCAGACGGGATCACCATTGAAAGACGTACGTAGTATATCACACCACCTCACTCTGATCAATTTTAATCTGATCGAATGAATAAAATTACCGAATTTTAGATTGAGCAATAAGCTCATTATTAGGAAAATATAGCATCCTAATTTGTTTTAAATGAATACTTAATGAAATTGATGAGGAAAAATGACTGACTTCCATCATTCCGACAAACAATGCACTCAAATTAATATTCTTGACAACCCTTTGTCCCAGGGCTCAATTAGTAGATCATTCTAAATCCATTTGTTAATGAATTGATGAGTAAGTGGGTCTTGAAAGGAAAACATGTCAAGATGACTCGTTTGATAACGTTGCTTTTATACAAGTACTGAACCCATTAGGTGAGTGAACGTGATTCGGTTATTTCTGGGACTGAGCTAAAGTCAAGGCTGCTGACAACATACAAGAACGGTAGAATAGCTTCGTCTTGCAACACCAAACTTTTCTATAAGTTTTATATAAATTAGACTATGATTCATTGAGAAAAAGCTCTAAAGGCAAAAAGCTCTAAATAAGTGTTTATTAAAAAGTGTCTAAAAAGTTTATGTTTGAGGAAATTCTACAAAAATAGCTATAGCGCGTCCAAAAAGAAGCATATCTTTTTGCTAATAAACGTACAGAACCCAATATTAAGCGAGAGATGAAGCTAGAGAAGCATTCTATTGGACATCTTTAGGCTCGTGTCAGGCTTGGATAAACATTTTTAGGCTCGGTAGCTGCAAATAAAAGCCACACGTAAATCAAAAACTCTAAGCTCACCTTCGTCTGTATTTCCTCGCACGCAGCGTGTGAAGAAAGTAATGTTAAAAAATGTTAATAACCGTAGTTTTCCTTTAGACGTGATCAAAATATTGTTCAATCCATTACGAGGCAATTCATATCAAGTTAAAGTGTTTGTGTTTATTTTCAAGGCCTAAAGATCTATTTAGGCAACAGTTATACAACTACACATCCAAGGCCCACACTGTTGTGTTCATGAATTGTGAATTATTATGAGTAAGTTTAATAGACTAATTTCAGTCATTAATGAATATTATTGAAGTAATACACTGTTCGCGAAATTTTGATGTTCTGTATATAAATTTCATCCAATTTTACACTTTTTAAATAAATAAAATGAGCGATAAATCTATCTGGTAGATTTGATCGGTTTACGGGCGCTTTTGTTGATTTTTTGCGTCAAACAAAACCGTCTCAATGTGACACAGTCTTCATCGCCATGGGCTGAAAATATCCCCTCAGAGGAATGAGTGTATCTTTGCCCAGCAAGCGATGCATCTAATTTATACCCTTTATACCTTTATACAAATGAGCGTATGGTGCAAAGTCCCCTCTGTGCTCTTGTTACGGGTAAGAAAGTGGGTCACGATTTGGACAATATGACCCAATCATTATCCGCGTGTGCGGTTGACTGCTGCAATTGTCAAAATCATTACTTGGCGCCTGTCACCGAGTATTGCGCTGGATGCTTCTTCGCCTTTTCAAATATTTTTCCTCATTAAATATAAAGTTATTCAGCATATAATTGAGTCTAATGGTAACTTCATGCGTGTTAACATTATTTAGAACGATTTTGCAATAAAAATTGCACTCGACAAGCTCTAATTTTGTCGTCAAAGAATGAAATTGATGGAACAAAATATATAAACCTCGTTAAATTACCATTATCAATTCGATGATTAATTTCTCATTTAGGACCGGGAAACGACCACATTATTTTTTCACTGTACATAAAAGTTTCTTTCCTCTTAGATATGCCATAGAATGATTCATGTGCTAGTCCCAACGGCAGTATTAGTCTTATTCGGGCAAGTCGTCACACAACTCTGTGATATTTTGAAAATTTTTATTCATAAAATCAACTGGTCATTATACAACCGCAATAAAACATATTCATTATACCATCCAAAGTTATGCCAATCGTCTGGGCATTGATTACAAACACTACTCTCATCTATCCGAACTGATATACAGTATATACTCATATATTGGTGTAGTTCGGCAGAAGCTTCTCTTTTATGCAAGTTTGATTAAAGACCAGAGCATGCTGCTCTGGTCTTTTTTTCGACCTGCTTTTCGATCCCCCGGCTCCAGCTAGAAATTTGGTTCGACTCATTGAAAAGACGAACAGGAAGATTGTTAATAAAAAGCATGCTCTGATCTTCAATCAAACTTGCATTCTCACATATGTATATATCACAAACTATATAAATGCCCAAAATATTACGAAAATTAAAGAAAAAATCCCAAGACGAAGCCTTGGGGTGTAAAGGCCTTGCGACTCCATTTCACGTGTCGACGACTGGCCACAAAATCCTCTTGTTGACCAATTAGAGATAACGATGACGCTGACCTGCCATCGTTATCCTGATGTACTAAAACCTGTCTTCGTGAACAGATACTAAATGAAGCTGATTCTTTCATTAAATTGTTGCCCATTTTGGAGTCTAAGAGGCATGTGCTATTTGTAAAGAAAGCAGAAAAAAAAAACAATGCATGCGAGGGCAAGTCTTTTCATGATTTTTGTAATAATTATGGTAATGTCAATGAATATTTTATTGCAATATTGAGGAAATGATTTCCATTTATTTATTTATGGGGAACTATTATCTTATTTTTCGCTTGAGACATAATTAGTGATTGTTTTTCTCTAGCTGGTGACCACGCTTCTCTTGGTAAAGAAATCTGTTTGTGCATGATTTTACTTGAAATATTAAATGTATGTTCTCTTATGCAAAATCGGATGCTTTGATTTACGTTAATGTGGTTGCGATATTCATAGAATTATTACATTTATCGTAACCATGTTTTACATTCAATTTACATAATTACCGTTGTGGGAAAAAATAGCTATTTGGGAAAAATGACAGAGGACATGATAAATTGACATGATATACGTTTCATGAATTCGTTCTTGATGTTCTAGCTCACGATATCTCATATCGTCATTGTAAAATGTAGAAAGTATCAGAAAGAGCAAGTTATGAGTAAATTGTTAATGTTCTACAAAGTTATACCGCTTTAAGGAATGTTATCAGCTCCTTCATACTCCTCTTGCATTTTGTAAAACGTCTTTTCATGAACTATCGATTTTACGTCATTTGCGTTTCATCATTGAAAATGAACTCTTCTTCTTTGCTTGTCCATTGTGTAATTGGCACTTTCAATATTAACCCAATAATTGCTATTTACGTGCCCATTATTATGCCCATTACATGCCTATTATTATTTATTAAGTGTCTATTATGTAATGGGCACTTAAATTCTTGACCTTTTGCTATTCTCAGCGCCATTTAATCCTTTATGTAGCGCCATTTAATCCTCTATGTAGTAACATATTGTTCACTCGTTGTTATTTCCAGCGCCATTTTTCCTTGATGTAATGGACACTTTCACCCATTGTTATTACCAGTGCCCTCGTCTTGCCCATCAAGAAATGGGTACTCGAAATGGTCCCCCATTTCCTCGGTGGCTTCCCTCGATCGCCCCGCACGAGGGAAGCTCGCCGGTCTGAGGGCGTCGCCCAGGCGCTCGGTAACGCTGGCCAGAAATAGACCACAGCTGCTGCCAAGTGCTTTGCTGTACAGCTCTGTACACCTGCTCTGTACATCTGCTCTGTACACCTGCTCTGCACATCTGCACACACGTGTCACTTACGTCTGTGGCTGCTCTGTACACCTGCTCTGCACATCTGCACACACGTGTCACTTACGTCTGGGGGGTACTTTACACCTGCGCTTACACACGTGACATGCTATCCTTCACTCTACACCTGCATGCACATACGTGTCACACCAGCATGCAGATACTCTACACATGCACCACACAGCACAACATTTCTGTTTGAGTGCCTAACATACCTCACCAGCTCACGCGTTTGCAGGTGCGCGACAAAAACATGGGAGATTTGTTCAATAAATAACAATGTGAGCTTCACGTTCACGCTGAACATAAACTATCGGTAACATGAGGTGGCACTATAATAAGATTTCTCTTTAGAAACTATAAGGATATAGGAGCACGTTTATTTATGTCATGAGGAGGTTAAGAGATTTTTAATCTATTCAGTGCAGAAATATGTTTAGAAGGTCGTCAGAGGAGTTATTGTAAAGAGAGAGAGAGAGAGAGAGAGAGATTTATTGTAAAAAGAAAGAGAGAAAGACATTGTCAAACAAAAAGAGAAGCCACTGTCGCCTGGGTAGGAGGAGAATCGTTAAAGAATATTGATTCTAAATCTTAATTCTTCTAAACAATGATTTCTAAATCGTCGCATGAAGAAAAATATTCTTCATATAATAGTTCTTGCATCGAGAACTTGGTTTTGGTTTCCTGATAACTTAATTAATTGTTGATGTTGTCTTCCTAGTCGCTGGTGAACTCATCAGCGGGGCTTAGAAAAGACATACAGATTGTCATTATTCTGATCTAAATTTCTTACCAATTTTTGAAAATTTAACTTTTAGGTCCTTCATATCAGAGTGCCTGCATTGAAAAAATTCACAGATTCGCGAAGCCGTACAATTAAATAGGCTCAATATTTAACTCTTTTTCACAAAACCGTGACGTTGAGAGGAGGTCAGCGTTAAGTAAATTCAGGCCGAGAAATTGCATTTTCGTTTAGAAATTCTCATATTTTCAGATGTTATTCAACTAATTTTTTTTGTTTTAGATGTGAAAACGTCGAACTTAAGGAGTATTGGAAAAGTTTATAATGACGATTATATAACTATTATGAGTTTCATACTAATTTTCCTTCCTCACAACAACATATCATATGTAAAAATGACATGTTATGTTTTCATTCATGAATTTCTTTAGCAATATTCACACAGTATAACTCAAAATTTGCATGCGGAAATTATGCAAACAAGTTTACCAACGTTTAAATGAAAATATAAGGTACAACATTCATCATTATTCTCTCACCACTTTCGGGCACCTTCTTTGTTCCATTAAATTACAATTAATAAGACAGGATACTATGGGCATCTGAGCAATACAGTACCCCATTTAAATTACATTTAACTGGGGTACCCCATTTAAATACATTACCCCATTACCTCATACATTACCCCATTTAAATTACATTTAATAAGATGGAATAAATAAAGCTTATGACTAATAATTACTCCCTAAACCCATTAGATTGCAGTAAATATCACAGCACATAATGGGCTTGTGCACAATAATCACCATTACCCCATTTAAATTACAATCAAAAATACGGGCTAAAGTGGGCTAATGACAAATAATTACTCCCTTAACCCATCAAATTTCAGTAAATACGACAGCACATAATGGGTTTCTAGCAACACTCACCCATTTTTGACGCTGCTGCTTCGGTTGTTTACATATCGAAGAACACAAAACTTCAGAAGTATTATTTGATCATGAAACAGAATCTCTTCGCCCTCCTGATCTTCCCTCCAGGGCAGGAAAAATTATTTCTATCGAAGAAACCAAGAATTTCGAGTTAACGAAACCAACTGTTCAGTTGTGCTCGATCGCGGTGGGTAAATCCGGTATATTCAGATCAACTTTAATATTTATAAAGCAAAAATATAAAAAAAACATCACATGAGCGCGAAGAATTTGCTGGTGATTTATTTATGTTTGTTTGAATTCAAAACTTGTAATAGCAGTAAAAACAATTCAGGCAATATATAAAAAGTATATTTTTCATTATTTATCAAGGATGTTAATAAGCCGACATATTGAATTTAAAGCTATGAGAACCAAGTATTTATTCTCTATTCGTGCGTATGCGCAATTCTTCTGTTTTTTGAAAGAAGCTTTTCGTTTCTAAGAAATGATTAATTTGGAATAAATATAATAATGCTTTTCACGGTCATGACAAAAATGATTAGAATTTAATTATACATATACACATAACGAACAGACATCTTAGTCAAAATATCAACGATGTTTCCGAAATAATTATTTTTCTACAAGAAATTAATTTTTTTAAAGATTTATACCGAGTACCGCAGTGCGAGTTAAGTTTGTGCAGCAGCGAGGGGTGACTCAAGTAAAGAGCTCACCACGCTCTTGCTCTCAACACAGACACAGCCAGACTGAAGACCTTCGTGGCACATGCCGTGGAATGAGAGCAGATAGAGAGTCGCCACTTAATCAGGGTGTGTCGGAGAGCGAGGGTAACCTGATAAGTGAGGGCAACTAATGCAGTATCCGTGCCAGTGGCTATACTGCTCGAAAAAACTGTTACAAACGGTCCATCCGGCGTTTTAGTAGCCGGTCTCCCGACGAAATATTTTTTTTTCCTAGTGAACGCACGAAAGCCGAACAATCCTGGTCGAATTTTATGGGACAGCAGGCCATTAAAATACTGTTACGACAGATTTTTCGTCGTTTTCCCAACAGTGTACAGAGCAACATTTCTGCATCAGTTCAAGACGGGAGGAAGGATATGGTGAGCGTGATCTGAACTCTGCTCTGCAATGGCCGGTGTACGTTCGACCAGGCGCCTTCAAGGACACGGTTTAAAGCATAGTCGATACGAATGAACTCTGCAGAACAAAGACAACAAATTCTTTAGACAACGGTTATTTTATTACGCCTATAATAACACTCGTTGCGTGTTACACACCTCAAGTTCAGCCTGTGAAAGACGTCTCTGATGGCACCACATGAAGGCTACTTGAATATCAGACTTCGTCTCTTAACCTTCATATATACATTCATTAATGTGTTTCTATTTTAATATCCTACTGCATGTACGGTTCCAAGAGGTCTTTGAAGTTTACCTCTAAATATATGTGATATGTGATTAAAAGTACGTTGTTAATGACAATATTATATAAAAAGTGAGCATGTGTTTCTAAATGTATGTCTACATACATTTGCTGTGTGTTACTTTTCGAAAAAAATATTTTGCCATTTATTTCTATCGCTTACTGCTCTCAGATTAATGTGACTTTACCTAATTTATTTCTTTCAAGTTTAACCCGCAATTTAACTTGATTTTAAAGGTAAACTCAATTTACACTCAGAAAAAAATGAGTTATATTGTCCTAATAGTGACATACTTTTTGCCGACAGCACGGCAGAGACCGGACACAGCACTGATACGCCATTTGGCAGGTCAAACTTAGTCAGGATGATTCACTCAAGGTCAAAACTGCATTAGTATTTATATAAAGTCACTCCAATTTCTCTAAGTATCGCAAGTTGCTTTGGACTCTATATGAATATATGAACGCACATTTTCTTAATATATAAGTACAGATAAATGGAAAGGAGATGTTTGAGTGCGTGTTAGCGCTGAAATGTTAAAATCCTGCAATTCCTGTTAATTTTTCTAATCCCGTAAATAACAATAAAGCTTCTGTATGCTAGGAAAAAACGTTAATACCCGCAATTTACATGATAATAAAACTCCCATTTGACCCGTTTCAATATATTAAAAACTATTTTGCAGTTTTCCAAATCATTATTTCCAATTTAAGAATAAGATTAATAATTTTCACAGTCCAATAATGTCATTTTAGAACTGCCTTACTATTCTCTTACAAAATACAAACAGGATACTAGGGGGATACTCGGACAGGGGGGATACTCTTAATAGGGGGGATACTCTTAAGGGGGGGATACTCTTACAAAATACAGGATACAAGGTGCAGGATACGATCCCGACGCGATATAGGCTTGGGGTAATAGACACGCAGTCTCTTATATGTCTAAGAAATTGGGCATAAAACACACATGCAAAATATGACTCAGATTTAGAAAAAATGAATAATTTACATGAAAGTCGTGTCTTAATAGCATCGTATTAGTGATGCCTAGTATTTAAATCAGGGTGTTAGAAAAAATTATTTTGCATGGAACGACGCGTTCTCTGTAAAGCCGGGCTATTAATTCTGCATGCAGTTTCGTTTCAATGTGCCATATTAAAATTCATATGGTTAACTTTCCATGCTTGGTTACCTTGCTACATGATGAGTTAATACAATGGTTGATTAATTAATGGTTTCATCATCGTCGACGAATGACGCAGAACGTCTAGAACAATAAGCACAAATTACGTTTGCATCAACCAAGCCTTCATTGTTATAAGCTTATCATTAATTTCCTTTAGTTTTGTTTGCTGTTTTTCCTATGCAAATAGTTGAGTATCTTATATACCATCATATCCATATAACATTCTATAGAGAGAGCCGGGTATACCTGCCGTGATATCTATTCAATTTCAGGTTATAAAAAAAAAATAGGGACAACTGATTTGGATGAGATTTAAAAAGTATGCGTTTAAAAATTACTATTTAATTAAAGACCACACTTCTAAAAAGGCCGGTGTCTCCGATGACATGTACAATAAATTTCTTGTTTTATATTTAGTTATTTATTTTAAAATATTCATTTACCTCCTGAAAATCCCTTATTTGCTGATTCTGTCAATTGGTTGATACATTGTCTCCAACTTTACACAAGTGTGAGAAATTTCCGATCGATTGGACATGTTGAAAAGTATCAAATATCGATTAAAAGATTTGTAGCTGACAGACAAACAACAAGAAGTGAAGTTAAATAGAATTTTGGTAAAAAATAAGTTCGAATAGATTATGGGGAAAATTAGAAGACAGTTCGGCTTCTTTGAATGTCTGTGCCTCGCACGTCATATCAGGATTATTTGCTGTTAGAATGTCCCCGCTAATATTTTTTTTTTTCAGTTTACTTCACATACACACTACTTACCACAATGGATGTTTCTTAAAATGCCGGCGTCCGTTCGTAGAACCCCGGCACCCACCGTTGCTATGCAGCCATCTCGGTTCATTCAGGTTTCTTCCCAGCCCGTACCCATCCGACTATAGTAAACCCTGTTACTTCTTTAAAAATATAGACTAATGTCGTGTTAAGAACATTGATTTTTAATAGATATTTGACCCGTGTTTTGGATTTGAAGCTTTTTTGGCTCTATTATCAGCGATTATTCTTGCACTCTCCGGTAATGGATCTTTTATCTGTAGCATGAAGTGTATAAATAGGGTCGCCTGTCGAAGACCACCACTGCCCTGGATGTAATGGACTATCGTGATTCCTGCCTTCCGGAACGTAGCCTTCAACTCTTTAAGTCGTCCGTATCTAGGCCGTGCGTCGAACCAGCCCTCGGTCGAACGGCCAGCTGTCGAAAGACGATAAATTTTGGAACAGAACTATGCTATCTGAAACCTAACCTCAGATGCGGTGAACGTAAAATTACGTAATTTAACGATGCCTGGAAGTCATATTCGATCCGCGGCCTGGTGGTGCACGGCAGGTTCTATGCAAGGCTGGAGGAGGACTAAGCCGAGTGGTTCACGGATGATTGATGGATGTCCGGAGAAATCCATAGCGTTCGATTCAGGGCTTGTTTGGTGCACAAAATTGGTGGTGCAAGGCTGTGCTCCCGATCTGGCAAGTGTCGGTCGTTTGGTGACTATCCGGCAAGTAAGCCTATACACATGGAGAGTATAAGGTGCCGCTATCTTCTCGTTCGCGCCCGCCAGGATAGTGGGATCACCTTCAACAACACGAGTCTGTACGTCGTTTTTATACTCTTTATTCTAGCACTTAAAAATGCAACGTCGGGAACAACTAAACCCTGACTAATGTGGTCTTCTTTTAGTTTCAAATTACTCGTTTCTCGCTACATTTTGTTGGAGTAACCATCATGGCAAACATTCCACTTCAATATTTTTGGAATATTTCAAAGAATAATTGAATATCGTCTGGAATCCACTTTGTTGGGTTCTTCTTAGAACCATTATCGTTCAAACAAGCCATGATTCACTTGACTCAAGATGCTTCACGAGAGCGGCACAGATGCTCTCACCATGGCTGCATCAGCGCTACAAACCACTTCTCCAGCGAAGAAATCAACACATCGTTGTCTTTCTCGGTCGCGTCTCGGGCACTTGCCGGCGCATGCCTCTGAAGCGGCTGAACCCCTACACACGAGGCTAGTAGCGTGGACAGTTCAAGCGGCGGATGAACTAGCGGCTAGTACTATCCCCGCGTGTACAGGCACCTTTAGGGGGAGAACGTTTCATACTTGCATCCATGCTGAACGTTTGACCGACTCCGTATGTTTCGGGTCTTACAAAGTTGTAGAAACTACACAAAATTTAGTAATGTGTAGTTATTTTAACGATTTCGGTCCATTTCATGATTCGTTCTAATTTGTGAAGAACCTTGCCCATTATTTACATTGGGAAATGAGAGAAGGCATATTTTAATGATGTGGTGACCTCGCTGAAAGAAATCAGAACCTTGTTTTGTGTATTCACCTAGTTCAAATGCAGCGCACTTGCCTCGAAAGAGGTATTTTCGAATTTCATAACCACATAATCGACATTTTAGCGAAACAAATGCAGACGCGCTGCGGCAGCACTCAGCAGCAGCAATCGGCATCGAATTGCGAGATGCATTGTGGGGTCGGCCGCCATTGTGGGGTCTAGCTTTCGCCTATGTTTTTTATCTACTGCGCTTAATTGTCTCTTCCTGAAGTTTTTGCTTGAAGATGGGACGCTACTGCGCCGTTGTTTGATGCACCAGTCATTCACACGACTATTTAAACATAAAACTGGATAATGAGATGTCTTTCTTCAGTTTACCAGCAGTGAATGCCGTGTATATCGTATCAGTTTATGTATTGTACTGATATACGTATCGTAGATCAGTTTACTAGCCGTGAATATTTATGATGCATGATACTATATATTTTCCAGGGGCAAAATCTGTTACTTGCCACTAGATAAGCTACATATGTAAGACTAAAAAGTAATAATATTTACAGATCACTGATTACATTATCATGACCCATTATCCTTATGTTGGTGGTACATTTGGATGGCTTGTGGGTCGTCCCACAAGCCATCTCCTATCTCCTATCCTATCCTATCACCTATCTCCTGCACGGCACCCATCCATCCACAAATTGCTTGAAAGCTTCATGCGTCATGTATGCCTTGAATTCTTGCAAGGTGTATTGGCTGATACCAAATACCAAGTAGTTCAGTATATCAGTACGTGAAAAGGGAGGCAGGCGTGCAAAA